AATAGAATAAGATAAAATAAAATAGAATAGAATAGAATGGAATAAAATAGAATAGAATAGAATAGAATAGTGCGGAATAAGCGAGGGTGTTATGTGGATGTGACAAAGAGCCGGCTTTCTAAGATTCCATTCGCTATTTTGTGTGACATGACTTTTGCAATACGTTTCATATGACTTTTCGTGTCGAAGGAAAAGTTGGCTGGAAGGAATTCGTCAATTCGCATCATTCGACAACGAAGACCAGTCAAGAAAATGTCAAGAGATCCTCGACTCATCTTCCTGCAACTCTTATCAACTTTTGCCCGGCTTTTGTCTGTCATATGACAGACATCGCCAGGGCGCAAAACCATAATCTCCGAAAATTCACTTCAAATAAAATAAATACAAAAATATTGCGTTTTTTGTAGACGATGATGTCCGTCACACTGGTTCATCGGATTCGGAGGACGGTGAGCTGACGACTTGTTCCACTGCACTCCATCCAAATTCCTTTTCAGAAGAGACCAATTCACGAATCGCTCACAACCAACTTTCGTCTGAAACGAAATGTCATGCCACACTTTTTCGAAGTTGCCCTGACAACGAGGTCTAATCAGGCCTCGACAACCCAAATAAGAGCTGTCCCTTTTTGGTCGTCATGTCTGTGAGTGACTGCTCTGTTCAGATACATCCTTATTCTTTCCATGTCTCAGTCACTTTCGACAGGAGCACAGACGCACAGGCAGTATCCAACCCTGTTCCTACTACACACGCACAAGCCAACCCAACACATGGAGAGACTACGACTATGACTTGGCAACAGTCGTCAACTCGTCATGAAGTTCTTTGGGGTCTGCAACGGGCAAGAAGTAAGGCGTTCACCCACTTTATCAGGCCCCTTGGACCGACATTCGATTGGTCGCACTCGCATGTGGCTAGAATGGAAGAAAAAAAGGACGAAGATGAGTCGCAGACTCATTTCGTTGTCGAAAGATGGTTTACTTTCGGTATCCCAGCATGGCAGTGGTGCCAAGGCGACAGTCTCTTGCTCTCTTTTATCGGGTTAACGCTTACCGGGAGTAGGTTTGGCTTAGTCTTAGGAAATAAATCTGTACCACGTGATGACGGTTAGAAAGGATATCGGGTGCTGTGAGCAAATTTAGAGTGTTTTCGCTTTTGCGCTTTAAAAGACAGTTTTTAATCAAATTCAATTCCGCAGGTATCCTGTCAGCTAAGCTATTATAGTTGACATAGAGACGGAGTTTTACTTTAAAAGTAGGCCTTCGAGACTAGCAATTAATGGCATATATAAGGAGTATTAACTCAATTCAACTTGAGGAAGGACGAATAGTTGAATCTTCCCACTATTTTATGCGTAGATCTTACGTTCCCATTGAATTTCACATAGACTTGCTTCCCATAAGGTACTCTCATCCAGATTTAACTGCACAGAGTAGATGTGAATTTCAACAAAGGCCAAACACTTTGCCATAACGCATTCTGTTTTGCGAGTTTCGATAAAGCAAAGTGGTATTTGGTACTACTTATTTGCCGTTTGTAAGTAGACTTTCGTGAGATCATCTCATCGGAATGAGGCAAAATTTAATGACCATTCCTTCAACAGCTCTGGCGAAATATGGAAAACATAGTTTGTATTCAAGATCTATTAAGTGTCTCGAAAGCTCACTTACGGGGTTCTCATTTCCACTACTCTTGATTTGATTAAAGCCATTTTATCATCTGTCATCTGCCGTTTCAAGCCAATCCAAACAGATGGTCCGAACTTTGCCCAGTTCCGAGTGGGTTGACAGTCGATCTGGACCCCAATCTCGGCAATATTAACTAAAAACTGACAAAAACGGCTGCGTACAACTGGCTTATTTAAATGGTGATTTTGGGTGTAAGCAAGTTTGGTGGCTATCAGTAAACCTCGATTAAGAACCAAGTCCGCTCATTTCGCTTAAGCCCTAATAGTTGACCTTTTACCAAAATAAGAAGAATGAGCCTCAAGATGGCATTGACTTCAGAGCGGACTGGACTGCAGCTTCTACCTCACCTTAAGCCAGCAACAGTGACTAAATTGATGTTCAATAATTAGTACTATCCCCGAAACCTACTTAAATCTAAAATAAGTAGTATCGATGTAATGAAATCAAATGCCACAGAAAAAGCAATTTTTCTTTATCGATAATACCATCGGAGAATGCGATAAAGAAAAATACCTGATCTTATTTTAGAGTCGCATCTGCTCTGTCATCCAAAGGCATTATTGTGGGTAATGCATCGAGTTTATACGCTGCACCACCACAAGCACCTCTGGCGATGCCGATGAGACCAGTTCAGGTGAGTTAGAAGCTGCAGACATTTTGGAAAACAGAGCCATGTGAAATTCAATGGAAATGTAGTGTTTATTCATATCGTTGTGAGGAAATTCGACTACCATTCCTTCATCATATAAAACGAATTAATGTGAATATATCTCGCATTTTAAGACTTAAATGTAGCGGTAAAAAGTAGTCTTCTTTTTCCAAGAGATAATTTACAAAAGTTGGATTCAACTTCGACTTTGGGATTATTCATTAGTTTAGTAATGTCCAACTTTTCAAAGACTTTATAAAAATACAAAAAGCAATATAGTGCTCTTCCTTTGAAATAAAATTCCCTAAAAAAATCGTATCAAATGCCAGCATTCATGTTTGCGTCAACTTAAAGGTATGATCTTGGAGAATGGAAATGTAGTGTCTATTCATATCATTGTGAGGAAATTCGACTACCATTCCTTCATCATCTAAACCGAATTAATGTGAATTTATCTCGCATTTTAAGACTTAAATGTAGCGGTAAATAGTAGTCTTTTTTTTCCAAGAGATAATTTACAAAAGTTGGATTTTACGTCGACTTTGGGATAAAACAAGATTAGGCCGCATTCTTCAACCTCCACAAGAAGGTCTTTTGGGCTCATCTTTTGAGGATAGAAAAGTAAAGTGGGTTTTGATGAATCTGCTAAGATACCATTTTCGTTTTGTATTAAACCACATGAATAAGAGATTCAAAGGTTGATCTGACCAGAAGACGACTGCATACCATTGGGTTGAATAAGACGTTCAGGTTGACGCAGTTTACAAAATATTCTTCATCGTTTTGGGTGAAAATGGGCTAACCTTGCGTTCGTCATTCGATGTACATTTTCTGGGCTGGAAGTCATTCCTGTAAAAGTCCCACTCAACAAACACCACGTCAAGAAAACTGTCCGACTCTATCCTACGTCAACTCAGTGATGGCTCTAACTTTGCTCACCCTCATCCAAAATGTTAACTTAAACCCATCAACCAAAACAGACGTATGCGATTAGGCAGACCCAGTTATGTCCTTCTTGGGGTTGTTCAATCTTAATGTCCGTAGAGAAGTTGTTTGACCTTGTTTTCGCAACTTGGTCATAATGGTAGGAGGACTGATAGAAACGCACCT